ATTAATACTCTTTTTTTGAGATACGGTCTCACTCTGTTGCCCAGAATAGAGTGCAATGTTACTGCAAACCTCATGCTCCTCAGCTCAAGCTATCCTACGGCCTTAGTCTCCCAAGCAGCTGCGACTAAAGGTGCATGCCACCACAGTCAGCTAGTTTTTCTATTTTTTTGTAGAGACTCCATCTCATTCTTGCTCAGGCTGTTCTCAAAACTCTCGACCTCTGAAAGACCTAGGATTACAGGTATGAGCCACCATGCTTGGCCAAAAACTGCTTTGAAACCAGAAAATTCCAGAGGATTAAAAGTCTTTTGGCAGGAATCAAGTATCCAGAAAATTACATCAAAGGGTTTCACGATAATGGAACTTCATGTGTGGAGACAAAAGAAAGGTCTATGTAATGCTTTGAGCTTCTTTCTGGCCGCAGTAAGAAAACCAGGAAAGAGGTATTGGGAAGCACAGCAATTCTTCATTTTTTTTTTTTTCTGAGACACAGTCTCACTTTGTCACCTCTGGTACTGTGTGCTGGTGTCACAGCTCACAGCAACCTCAAATTCTTGGGCTCAAGCAATTCTCTTGCCTCAGCCTCCCAAGTAGCTGGGCCTACAGGTGTCTGCCACAACACCCGGCTATTTTTAGAGACAAGGTCTCACTCTTGCCCAGGCTGGTCTCAAACCTGGGAGCTCAGGCAATCCAACCATCTGGCCTACCCAGAGTGCTGGGATTACAGGCTCAACTATTTCTATACTGAAGCAAAACAGACTGTCAAGATTTTTCTTCAAGTTCATCTGCCACAAACTGCACCTCTACTAGAATTACAAAGTTTTCAGTCCCTGAAAGAGGAGAAACAAAGGTGACTGACATCATTTCAGTTCATAATCTTTTTAATCAACAGTTACCAACACAGAATTGAAGGGTTTAGGGATCAGTGGTTCAAATTCCTATCATGTTCACCTGTATTAATGAATTGCTGGAACCACACCTCCCTCTAGTGACCTTATTGAGACAACTACCATTCTCCTTTTACATTTAAAAAAACACACACACACACTTTAAAAATTGATTGTAGTTTCTGTTATTAACCTGTAATGCCAAGGGTTATAGACTTTCAGCAACACAAAAATTATCCAGGGCTCTGAGACCCAGACAGCCTGGATTCAAATCTAGTTTCCACCATTTACGGACCAAGTGATTCCGTTCTCTATGCCAGTGTTCTCCCACTTGCAGACTGGGGATAAATAGTTTTCACCTCATGGGATGGTTGTAAAGATTAAACAAGATGGTAACAAACGGTTTAATTCTTTTATTATTCTCTATTTTTCATACACTTATTGAATCTTTCAATAAATGCGAGAAATTAAATCATTACAGAGATAATATGACACTTTACATTTCAAGTTACTTTATTCATAGATAGTCCCTCTCTGAATTTTACATTGCTTATCATCCACTGCCGTATAGATTGGCAAGGTGCTTATCAATCATTGCCATATGGATGTTGAAGAACCCAGGCTCAAAAGTAACCGAGGAGGCGGGTTAGAGGGTGGAGCGAAATTGAGGCATAGTGAGGGGAGGCGAGTAAGGAGGGAGGCATAATGAGGAGCAGGTGAGAGAAGGAGAAGGGGAATGAGAAGGGTAGGTAGTGGGAGAGTGAACAGGATCAAATTCAGATGTTCGGGCTCCAAATCCCCAGCTTTTCTAATAGAGCATCCCCCATTCCAGGCCCTCCGGATCCAGCCCACCACCATGATCTTCCCTCTGGCTCCACTCCTTAGCACCGCCGTGATCCCACGATCCCTGCTTTTCAGCCACCCTCTCCGGATCCCCGGCAGAGGTAAGGCCCACGCCCGGGTTCGCTCTCTACCTTACTCCCCGGCCGCGCCATGTTGCTGGTCCTCAGGTGCCTCTGTTGCCTTTTCCGGGCTGGAACCTGCAGCCGCGCAACTCGGTTCCGGCTGACTAGCCGACCACAGACCAGCTGCTTCCTTCCTGATAAGCCTGGAAAGGGCGGGGAAACCGTGCCCGGGAGCTCTGAGCATGCGCAGATTCCTTCCATTCTACTTTGCAGTCAGTGATATATTATAGGCCAGATTTTAACATTGGTAAAGCCGCACACCATTGACGGGGGCGGGGCCTGACAACAATGCAAACTTTGATAAGCAGTTCTTGATAATCAGTTCTCAACAATTATTTGTTATTATTAAAGTTTAACATTATAAAATTAACAAAAATACTATAAAACTCATATCCTGGTGAAGTAGCCACATGGCAGCCAAAAACCGTATATTCCCTTCCTGTTCTCCCGCTATTCCCTAGCTTGTAGTGCATTCTTTCTAAAAATCAGGATTTTTTTAAAATGCTGCAAGACCTGGGACAAATTGTTAAAAATCCGGACTGTCCCGCCAAAAGCGGGATGTCTGGTCACCTTATGATATTCTCCCAAAGATTCATTCTCCTTTTTTCTCATGGATAGTAACACCTTCCGCATTTTGTGTTAGAGCTCTGGAGTTAGATTACCATGAGTATGAGCATAAATCCAGATAATCACTTCTCAGTTTCTTCTGCTAAAAAGTAATAAAGACATAACAGGCGGGGCTTGGTGGATCACGCCTGTAATCCCAGCACTCTGGGAGGCCAAGGCGAGTGGATCCTGTGAGACCAGCCTGCACACGAGCTAGACCCCGTCTCTACTAAAAATAGGCAAACTATCGGGGCGTTGTGGCAAGCACCTGTAGTCCAGCTACTGGGGCTGCTTGAGGCAAGAGGATGGGCTGAGCCCAAGATTGGGGTGCCGATGACCACCTTTGATGACCCCATGGCACTGTACCCAGGGTGACAGAGTGAGACTCTGTCTAAAGAAAAAAGAAAAAAAGATTAACAGATGTGATGACCTTAGAACCAACTCCTGCAGAATGAGGAGGAGTTTCTGAGGCACTAAAAGTAGGGGATGTGCAAAGAAACAGCATCTGCTGAGGCTCCCAAAATAGTGTGGAGCTTCTCTAGCTTGAAAGGGAGAACACGAGTCTAGGGAGATGTTCTAGAAATGGCAGCTGTACAAAACAGCTTGACATGGCTCTTTTTAAGGAAACTGCCCAACCTACAGCTCCTGCCCCTTTGAGGGATATAGGCTCAAGCTGAACCTCGCACAGAAACAACTATTTTCTATATTAAACGATCCACAAGCCCTGTAACTGGAATCTCCCTCCACCCTCTGCCAAATCCCTAGTCTCAGAGATTCTAATTATGAACCCACTGACCACTCTACAAAAGGACAGATATTATTGATGGGGGCGGGGGCTAGAAAGAACCTTTGGGAAGCCAAAGGTGGGGGTGGGGGTAGATGGGGGTGTTTCCCAAGCAGGTAGCCCATTAGAGTCTTATGTTTAGGAGTTTATACTGCTTTTTCTGTCCTGTGGAGGTGGGGAATTGGAAAGATGAACTGTCACAACCTTTTGGCACCAGGGCTTGGAGGCAGAAGTTAATTTTAAAACTGTCCTTGGGTGTGTGCTCTGCTAGGGGAGTAGCAGCCTCTTGTTTAGGGTATGTTGTCAGCCTAGATGAGACACTAGTCAGGTTGATTTTTACAAGCTTGTTTGTGCCTAGAGATGGGGACTGTGATCAAGCCGATTTATGAGCCCACTTAGGCCTAGAAAGTGGGGGCGTCCCTATCCAGCCCTGAGTGGGGGAACCCTGCATCAAACTGACAGGTGATTAGACAGTGCAGCTGGCAGTCTGCTGGCAGGTTCAAACCCAGCTTGGGCCTTCCAAACGACAACAACAACAACAAAATAGCACAGTGGTTATGACACCAGCCGCGTACACTGAGGCTGGTGGGTTTGAAGCCAGCCTGGGCCAGCTAAACAACAATGACAACTGCAACAAAAGAAAAATGTGCCTGTAGTCCCAGCTACTTGGGAGGCTGAGGCAAGAGAATTGCTTAAGCCCAAGAGTTAAAAATTGCTGTGAGCTGTGATCCACAGCACTCTACCGAGGGTGACACAATAAGACTGTCTCAAAAAAAAACAAAAACAAAAACAAAACTATAGACAAGCTCTGGCTGTTTTTTCCTAAGGAGAAGTTGGAACCTTCACATTTTAAAGGCATACAGAGAGAAGGAAAAAGTGGGGGAGCTGGTGAGACAAAGTGGTTACATTTTATATACAATAAGGGGAATGTTAGGAGGAAGAATGGGAGTGAAGGAACTATCAATAACGCGGATATCCCTGGGTAGGTGGAAGAATGTCTTCTTGTGGCCAGTTCTATTACCTGTAAAGTTAAGTTTGTAATTCATTATTAATGTGAAAGTAAATAGGCTTTAATTTTTAGGCCCTAGACAGAGGTACAATATGTATGTTCTTGCTTATGAGAGGTTAGCAAGGAATTTCCCGAATATGATCCGTGGAGCCATTTCTTCCAAGGTGTCTGAGGCCCTCACCTTCTTTTTCACATAAGCAGAGGGGAGGAGTCGTCTTGGGACTTTGATTTTCCTTTTAGAGACACTAGGAGTTTCTTCCACCTTTTGATTCAAACTCAAGGGGTTCTTTTAAAGCTAAAATATTTGTAATAGTATTTTTACAGAGAGGTAATGGCCAGGCTGTCCAGTTTTGGTAGATTCCTTGTCTCTATAGCCTATAAGCACCCAGCAACTGCCCTTTCTTTTTTTTTTTTTTTACTGTTATAATAACTTTAATTTATCTTGCACTTTACAGAAGTCTATGAACGATTTTAAAAAAGCACCTCCTTACTACATATCATATTTCTCTGACAGGTGTTAAAGTAGGCAATGAGTATATCTGAGCATCAGCATCTTGCAAGGATTTCAGACCAATTAGCCACTCGCCAAAGAACTTGGCAGCTTTTTTATCTTGTTTTTAATACAATGGTATATCCACTCTGATGGCAAACCGTCCAGCCATAT